GCCACCAGACAATTGCTCGACTTTGACACTTGTCTCTTTTCTCTTTTGTTTGGTTTTCTTACGAAAATTCAGCATTTGTTCAAGTTAATTGAGATTCAGGCATATTTGATATTATTTTTTAAATAATGGTAATTGTTCTCACAAAATTTGTTCCACCCTTCGTAAAAAACAAACGAATAATGGTGACATTAACAGGAATCAAGCAGTTCACTTTTAAATTCTCACAGATGTGAATGAAAAGTGTTTGACAACCTACCCAATTCTTTAATTTTGGAGGCAAAGAAATAGTTTGGTAACAGGACCATAAAAAGTTATTAAAAGTCATATTGATGGGTGATCCTCCCAGAGTGACAAAAAAAAAAATAGAATACATCAGTGATCCTCTTGGAATTGATAGCAAATTTTCAGTAGGCAATAATCATAATGAACAAGGACACGTACAAGCAAAATTGTTTGCAGATCAAAATGGCGATCGATTCGGAAGTAAGCTTCTTGCTGATATTCTTGGAGGTAAGTTCTCATTTACTGTTGTTGTCCATGTTGGATCTAGAGGGACTAGAGATGGGTCATTTGTCTCGGTGTCATTATTGATTGGGGATGAATTCTCAGATTAATTATTTGGTTTCTATCTCGTGACAGGAGTATTTCGTGAACTGTAAAAGTTTGAATGACTCCATTCGTGGAACCGTTGAGCCAGAATACATTTGCTACAGAGCTACATTTTATTCAGAGTGTTGTAAGAGAGGTGAGGGTCCTCTTCACTAGCTATTCGGTGATCTTCAAAATTGAGCTCTTTGTCCTCAATTTTTGTTTGTGACCACCTTCTCCACTTAAAAAGGAAACAACATTTTAAGACAATAGCGAAAAGGGTGGGCTGAGTTTGACTCAGAGGGCGATATTGGACACACACGAATTTGATACCATGTTAGTACAGTCGAACCTCGACTACACGGACCTCGATTATCCGGATTTCTCGATTATCCGGACTTTTTCTCTGGTCCCAATTTTGTTACGAATATTTATCAGTCTTGATCAAGATCCGGAGCTATATACTTTTCTAAACTACAGCGTGAGTTTGCTTCAGTTTCAAAAAGCAAAAGCAGCGCTCGGACGAGCGGTAACTAATGGAGAACATTCGAATGAGGTCTGATTGGCTTAGAGTTGCTTTGTTACTAAGCGAGATTTCACGCTCTATTGGCTCGTTCGGCGTGGTAAGCAAGATACCAAGCTACACAGTGTCGCGAATGTCTATTCATGATCATCATGTTCTTGGGGCGTAAGCGATCCATTCTGTCGATAAAAGATGAACAGTCTATAATTTCGCGATTAGAAAGAGGAGAAAAAGGAACAAATATGTCAGCTGAATACGGCGCTGGTAAGCAGCAGATATCTGATAACAGCATGAACAAGGAAAAGATTAGGAAGTTTGCCGACAACTCAGAGAAGAGCGAAGGGCTAACGCGTAAATCGCCGTAGGGTTGTACATAATGAACAGCTCGATAAAGCTATCTATACCTAATTAATATTCATATTCTTGATTATCCAGACTATTTCGTTTAATATACCGATCAATAATTGATTGTCGAGTGATCATTGACATTGTACCATGATTTTTGTTTTCGGTAATCAAAGCTCTATTTTTCCTTAAACAACCTCTCTTTTGATGGAATACCTATTTGATAACCAAAAGACGCATCGAAAACGGTCACGATTTCAAGTATTTTGTTTCCATGATTACCTCAAAATAAACACCTATTCTGTGAGCGTTTTTAAAGAGACATGGCTTCCAATTGAGCGCGATACACTAACGATAACACAAAAGCAGGTTTTTCATATAGTGGGTTTAAGCACGTTATCCGTGCTGAAATTTTGGGAAACCATAGAGGGTTAGTTTCGACTAAATTGCATTGAATCATACGATCAACGTCGTGCGATGTCAATTTCGAACTCTTAAAAGACCCTGAAGTATCATGACCATAATAACTAACAAGTCCTCTATACAAGTAACTTCAAAGATGTGCAAAGTCACAAGTGCTTCGGTTGGTTAGGGCACGAACTTTCCCCACAACTAAAAGGAAAGGAAATGTCTGAAAGATGTGCTTTGAAGATGCGTTCTGGGTAAACCACCGATCTTAGCCAAGGTTATAATCTATTCACAGGTAGTCTAACCTTCATTACATCTTACTCTTTGAGCCGATCATTTTCTATTGTTCTAATCACTAATGTGAGCAAATGATGAAAAACAGTGAACACTTACCGTGACAAAAAAGACAGCCGTGAAAGATCAGTAATGTCATTATGAATGAAACGTTCGCCATCGCCAAGTGTAATGTTATCAGTGGGGTTGTATTTCGCAAGCACTTACAATCTGATATACTCGGAAGGTTATTAAAGAGAAGGACACAGCAGAAAACAACAATCAAAAACCGGTGAATATGGAAGAAATAATAAAAAAAATTCTCACGATCTTTGAACGGGTAGATTTAGTGTTTCATTCATGCACATTTGAATGCAAATGAATGGAATTTGTGCACTTGATTCCTTAAGTTTGCCACGTCATAATTACCACAGGAACGCCTACAAACCCCTGAAACACACCTGAGGCTATTCATTATTTCTTTTTCTTCGCTTTTCTTTGTTTAGGTAAAATGTTGGACGTAGCATATTTGCTTCGTCTGCGGTTGTGGGGAAAACAAAAAGATATGCTAAATTGAATTGTCGGGTCAAGACAGACATATTGAATCATGAATAAGCAGGAATATATTTAATTTTGTCGATTAAAACTCTATTTTTCCCTTCAAGAAAGTATGACTAAACTTTGACTAGACGCCAAATTTTCACGACCTGTAGCTGCTCTTTTGAAGATAGTTTCCTTTTGAGAGGAGAACACTTTTACCTTCACCTATTAATTGCCTCATATATATTCATGCACACAATCTTATATGTTTTGATTCGAACTGTTTACTGTCTCGGCATAAAAGTAGACGGATATTAATTCATGATAACGGAAGACTTCGAGTGTACAGGTTATTACTCAAAATATACTTTTCCAGGACTACTTGAACTTTACAGGATTCCAGTAGGTTTCGCTCTGATGAGAGAGGCTGCTGTACAAAGCGCTCTGAACGGGATCTAACGTTCTAATTCTCTGCTAGCTAGTTGTATAAGAATATTTTAAACTTCAGTTACAGCATGATACAGACAAATCGTAGTAGACGGGTTTGTCAATTAAGATTTATTTGCAAAACACACCTTAACGCACACTCTAAATGAAAACGGTAACAAGTTTATGATATAATCAAATCATACACTACTAATAAAGAATTAATTAATAAAATTATTCTTATACCAATTTACTGATGGTAGTTGAATGAATTTTAAGCTTTTGTAACGATTGATTAATCAATGCACCTTG